TTGCTACCGGGGTGAAGCCGCCGTCTATGTAACCCTTGTACACGTGACCGAATCCTCCGACGCGTCCGACGATGAAGACGTCGTCGAAGTTTGTTGGTGGCGGCTTCGATCTCCCCAGAGAAGTGGCGTGCATAATCGGACGGAGCTGGAAGCTTCTGTGTGGCTCGTGAACAACTTGATTTGTATTCCTTGGGATCGTTTCAGTGGTTCTCATGTCCTCTCGAGACACACAACCAAATAAAAATCACAAGAGAGAATAAATACGACCCCGATTCCACCCTGCGACGACACAATTCTAGTTTTTTTTTCCATTTCCGCTGCTGTCTTTCCGGGGATGATGTTGTGCGGAGTCTGAAGGGGGTCCGGCTCGGGTCCAGCAAGGTTGTTTACATTGGTTTTGAAGATCTCTAGACCGTTCAGGAAGGCATCTGGGTATCTCGAATACACATTGCTTCCGTAAGGGTGCATTTGAAGCGAGAGATTAAAAACTTTTTCTGAACACCATTTCTCGGAATCAAAAAGGCATAGTTTTTTCTGCACAGCTAGACCTTTTTGTTTCTTGACTCCAAACCATTACATCTGCACGCGAATCAGCCAACTGACTCGCTATGTAAATGGGAATCGCCTGTCACCGATAGCATTAATATCGGGATCAAGCTTCGCAAAAGTGGAGCCTGAGAACGTAAGTGAAGCCATAATCAACGGGACTCCCAAGTGAGGTTGCTCATTCTGTTCAGAGTGGCGTTTGTGCCCATGCTTACGCGCTGTTCTGAACAGTTCCTTTGGTGCCAAGTAATCGTGGATTCACGGTTATGTTTCATTTTCCCATCCTGTCAGCATGTAGATCATCATTCTTTGGATGTGTTTGATAAATAACGTTTTCTCGTCGGAGCCCAATTCCTAACAAAACGGTGTCCGTTTGTGGTTGAGATTTCCCTGGCCTCCGGATTTAATAGAATAAACTGTTTTTCCATGGCAGTGCTACTTTCCGCCTGAATTGCCATCATGTCCCACCAGGAGTGAATCCTAGTCATCTGTGGCGTGTAATATAAATGCTTTTGGCATGGGAAAGCACCTCGATTCCATTGATGAAAGCGTAGGAGTTTTGGATGAGTGGGGTGAAGGTAAGATAAGACTCTCACCGTCTTTTGCGTTGACCGACGTATTCTCTGTAAGATAGGGTCGGTGGCTTGAGCGTCACGCGTTAAGAGGCGTTGAAAAAGCGTGGAGGAGAGTGAATTGGTTGGAATTGAACGGGAGAAAGATGCCGTGGTGCGGAGAACGGAAGAGTAGTCACAGGGTAGAAGAAGAGGCGAAGGAATTTGGGCCTGGGGGAGTGGGAATTGTGTAATTTGAATTGGGAACTGGACAAGCGTGCAGTGGAGAAGGGGAATCAAGCGCCTGAAACCGGGTTCGCAGCAGGGTGCGCACGAATTCTTGAACGAGATCGAGATGCTATCGCAGCTCCGCCATCTTCATCTGGTCTCCCTAATCGGATACTGCAACGAGATGAACGAGATGATACTGGTCTACGACTTCATGGCGCGCGGCACCCTACGCGACCATCTCTACAACACGGACAACCCCGCTATCTTGTGGAAGCAGCGCTTGCGGATCTGTATCGGCGCGGCGCGAGGGCTGCACTATCTCCACACAGGCGGGAAGCACACGATCATCCACCGCGACGTGAAAACAACGAACATCTTGTTAGATGATAAGTGGGTGGCGAAGGTTTCGGACTTCGGGCTTTCAAGAATCGGGCCAACAGGCACGGACAAGTCCCACGTGAGTACCCATGTGAAGGGAAGCTTTGGCTACATAGATCCCGAGTACTACAAACGATTTCGTCTAACGGAAAAGTCTGATGTTTACTCTTTCGGGGTTGTGCTGTTTGAGATACTGTGTGGTCGTCCAGCTTTGATTCACAGTGCAGAGACGCAGCAGGTATCGCTTTCTAACTGGGTGAGACATTGTGACCAAAATGGGACCATACCAGAGATTGTGGACCCCACGTTGAAGAAGAAGATTGCACCGGAGTGCCTGAAAACGTTTTGTCAGATTGGAATGAGTTGTTTGTTGGAAGATGGGACGAAGAGGCCTTCCATGAAGGACGTGGTTGCGATGTTGGAGTTTACGCTGCGGCTACAAGAAAGTGCAGAGCAACACTCGTCTGAAAAAGGAGAGGAAATTTGTGCGGATAGCTTTTCTACTACTGACATGTATTTCACTACTACGACTACCACCAGTGAAGATAATAACTATAGTAATAATACGGTGTCGTCTTGGACTCCTTTCTCCGAAATTATGGATCCAAAGCCGCGTTGACCAATCCAGTTAACGCAGACCTCTCCAAATGCTGGCATAATAAAACCAAAAAGATCGTGGGACCTCTGTACAACAGTAAGACTTTAGCATTTTTGTCTCCCCATTCATAGATTTAACAAGTTGTATATGAAAGAAAATTAAATTAAGTTTTGTATACTTATCCAAATATTTAATAATACAACTCCTTTTGTTAAGATGTATTGTTTATGATGTAAATTAAATAATTGTTAAGATTTGCAAGATTAAATATATGGAAAAATATTTAATATATGAGAATTTCAAATAGTATTAATAGTTAAATTATTATTACCAACTAAAATAAGTTAATAATATTTCGTTACAAATAATAATTTAGTCTATTTACATTATAAATAACTCAACAAAATATCTAAAAGAGTTTAACTATAATTATTTTGTATTTTTATGCATCTTGATTAAAAGAAAAATCTTACAAGTTTATATAAAAATATGTTTCAGTCGTCAATTATGCATTAAACAAGGGAATCGCGGTTAACAATCATTTGATAAAAGTGTCCATACACACGTCCTATTGAGTTGTGTAACTCAATATAAAGTGTCTTTTCAAATATTTCGAACACTTGTTGACAATAAATTGAGCTATGAGCAAGCACACAGTCATCGAAACACTTTATTTACTTGTTCAGAATTATGGTGGTTGTTCTTCAATAGATTATCCTTGTATAAATAAAAATAACATGTAATATAAAAAGAAAAGGAAGAAGATTGAATACATATTATATTTTTATATTGATTTATACAATGAGACATCTCGAATTCTCAATCAACTGAATTAATTCAAATAAACAAATTAATACTATAAACTACGCTTGAATGTTCTTTGGATGGTAGTCACTATTGTTTGATGATAATGTTAATCATCAACAACATTATTAGTTATTTATATTAATAAAACCAACTTCTTTTTAGTTTTTAATTCATTTAGTTTTCATTTTAATATTTTTTAAGTACTTAGATATTGGATATTTTTATCTAATTATATTATTAATTTCCATTAATTTTTGTCAAAATAATTAAAAAAGAAAGTATTTCGGTTAAACAAAAAAGATTAAAATCTAAGAAAGTGTTAATAAAAAGTCAAAATTGGAATTTTTAAAGGATCTCTCGAATTGGGTGTCACTTGAATCATGTACAACGCTGCAAAGGTATAAAGAAACATTTGTTAATGAAGTTGACACCACCATCATGGGTTGGACATCATCTTCGAGTGGTAAGTTACGTTGAGCGTCACTTGACTTATACTGAGCCTCACTTCCTAGTGGTGAAATCCATTTAGCATCATTTCACATGTGTTGAGTACTACTTGGACAAAGAATTCATTCAATGCTTCATAGTTCACATTCCCATAACAGTGTTTGGTGTTAGGCACTACTTTTTTTATGTGACATTTTGGCTTATTTCTCCTTGTTTTTTTTTGGGTGCTAAAAAGTGTGGAATGCGTTTTGGAGTTTTTTTGAGCTACTAGGGGTTTCCTTATAGACCTTCATTCTCCTCCTTTGATCTTTATCCACATCCATTTTTCATCTTCTCTTTTTGAGCTCTTCATGACCATGAAGAGTTAAGTCCGTTTTGTTGGGATTAAATGTAAGCAACTAAACTCTCATATAATTTGTATTATTTATATTTATATGTCTTTCCATTCAGTGTCAGTATTTGTTTTTACATTCATTAGATATTGTGGTTTGATCACTTATAGCTTTATATTTAGTTATTGAAAAATATTTTTTATAATTAAGAATTGAAGCAAAATACCTAATGAAGCTTGTGTCTAGGAATAAAGTTTGACTCATTAGTTGTCTTAAATCCTTGTTGTGAAAGTAAATGAAACATAGGGAAACTCTAGAAATATGGGAAAGGTGGAATGTTGAATAGATATTCAAACTTTTTCGCAAGTAATTTTTTTTCTAGTGGTTAGACAGTTTGCATAAGTGTTAAACACTTAAGTTTTTGTTTTTCAAAAAGCGTTTAGAAAAAATTTTGAAAACAGAAAGGAATAAGGCAAGCTTATTTTTATATTAGTTCACTTTAAAATGAGGTGCATTCAGTTCTACCTTAAGTACTCTTAAGGGGTCAAAGATTACAACGAATTTTACCACTCCTAGTTTACAAACTATCCCAACTAGATAAACGAATTTCACCATTCCTGGTATACAACTAGTCCAACTGACTAGACTTCATTGAGTTAACAAACAAGCATTTTGATTCACTTCTGTACTATGAAAATGTTATTGAAGAACAAGTACATATTCAAATCTCTCGTAGAGAGGATAAAAGATTTAATACAATGAAGTTTGAAAACTTGTAGTAAACTTTTCTTTTCAAAAGAAGATGCTAGATGATGAAAGCTTAGAAATATAACAATAATGTAATGAATGATCAGAGTGTTATTCTTGTTTTCTTCACTTCATGCTAACTTATTTATATATCCTTCTTCAAAAAATATGTGTTACTTAGAGCTTTGAATTTCTTGTAGAGGTGTAGCCATTTTGTACGAGGTCAGAAGCTATATTGTGTCTTGTAGAGACAACTATGTTTTATGTACGAAAGACAAGCAAAAGGTATGAAGGAAATATTCCTAGAATATTTTCTCATCTCTTAATGTTCTTCTGATTCTAATCTAGATTTTTGAATAAAGTTGTTGTACTGAATTGTTCTGCATAGAAAAGGAGAGCATAACACACTAGACAAAGAAATATTAATACTTACATGTTTTAAAGTGTTAAACGATCCTAAGCGTTTAGACATTATACATGTGTAAGTGTTTAAGCACTACTTGTTTAAGTAACTTATAGCATTTAAGATATGATTAGTACACAATAGTTAACATTTTTCATTTTTATCCTAGATGGTTTAACATTGTTAAATGTTATTTCATTTATAAGCTTTGTTAAACTTCAAAGCAAGATATTTGAGACGATCTTGTCTTAATAGTAATTTCTTTTATTTTTGCTCAAGGAATTGACTCTTAATAAGGAATTGACTCTTAATAAGGAATTGACTCTTAATAGTACTTTTTTTAATTAGTGCTCAAGGGTATGCATATACAGGTAATCACAAAAGCTTTAAACAAGGATTTTGATCTTCACCAAAAAAGGAAAGATTGTTAGCAACAAGGTTGAATTAAAGCCATAGAGATTTTAAGGATGAAGTGGTTGAAGACAAGAATTTGTTGCTTAATGCATTGATTAAATTAAAGCTTTTGTAATTCTTAATTAGTAGTAGTGTAATAGGCTTACAATAGAAAGATGCACAACCATGTTCGAAGAAAAGCATTTTTTTTTCAGAAACACACTTCAATAATCGATTATCACTTGGGATAATTGATTATCTCATTTAAAATAAAAAATGGCAAGACTTGCAAATAATCAATTATCTATAGGGATAATCGATTATCCACGAGAAAATGAATTTTAAAAAGGCTCGCATATAATCGATTATCACTTGGGATAATTGATTATCTTAGAAAAAATAATTTTGAAAAGATTTGTCAATAATCGATTATCACTTGGGATGATGATGATAAATGACAATTTTGAAAAGACTCTTTATCTTTTGACCTAATTTTGAACTAAGTCTATACATACCTTATTTTTGAACACTTTAAATGTTACTTAGTATGTCTGAGAACTCAAGTTTTATTTTTAACTTAAGAACTCTCTTTTCATTAAGTGTGAGCTTGTGGACCTTGTGTGAGTACAAGGAAGTGTTTCATTAGTGTGTCTAAATGAGAACATATATGTCGTTGCAAGCTTAAGTTGCTCATCTTTTTATCTGTCAAAAGAAAGTGTTAATCATTTCTTGTGTGTTCAAAAGAGGTGAACTTTAAACCTTTACCTTACTATTTTATCGTAAGTTTTGGTTATTTTATAATTATTGGTTAGTCACTTTTTTAGAATTATTGGTTAGTCACTTTTTTAGAGAGATTAACAGTTAAGATTTATCTAAATTAGTATAAAATCACTTATGTAAGCTTTTCTTTCCCTACACTCTTTTATTTACTTGTTATCTGAAATACTTCTTTGTATTGTTAAGTTATTTCCTAAAAAAGAAAGATTTTATAAAGAGCCATTGTTTTTATCAAGAAAGTCAATTCACTCCCTCTTGATTATTGTCTGCCTACAAACATTTCGCTACTTATTTCCAAGAATAGATAAGATGCCTAAACAACTCAATATGTCAAAGATGGGCAAGGAAATCTCAGATAGTTCGGAGATTGGTAAGGAAAGCTCATATTGCACAAAGAATGACATACAAACTTCAAATAGTTCAGGAAAGTGTCTAGACAGCTCACATAACTCAAAATAACGTATAGAGAGCTTAATAGAGCATGTATAAAGCTTGGTAGAGTATGTTGTTGCCAAAGTACCTTAGTGCATCAAGTGAAAGACTTAGATATCTCGGTGGTGAGAGGGCTAAGCTAGAGATAGAGATTAGTGGTGGAAGGGTCAAGTTGGAGATGGAGATTCATGACAAGCTGGAGTCGAAAAATTCGTGGTGAAAGGATAGAGCTGGAGTTGGAGATTTGTAATGGAAATGCTAAGTTGGAGTTGAAGATTCGTGGTGGAAGGGCCCAGCTAGAGTTGCATATGCATGGTGAAAGTATTGAGCTAGATATGGAGATCCCGATGGAAAGGTTGAGCTGAAGTTGTAGATCTATGGTGAAAGGCCAAGCTGAAACTAAAATTCATGGTGGAAGAGTGAGCTGTATTGATCTCATGGTAAATCATGCGCTCTCACACTTTATTACCATCTCTTTTTTGTAACATTTATCCTCTTACCTCATTATGTAATTGAAACTCATACATGTCACTTTTTGTGTCATTTGAATGTAAATCCACCGTTATAAAAAAGAAACATTTATGTTATTAAAAATTGAAATCTTAATATGTAAGCATCGTTAGACTAAGTGTTCATATATGATATCGAGAGTTGTTGATTTATTCATGTTTTCAAGTTTGCTCTCAAATAACGAACCTTCCTGCCTTCGCTGCTTCTTATCAACTACTACAAGCTTGTATTGAAGTCAATACCGATAACCCAAAAAATAATAGAAATAAATGAGAACAGGAAGTCTTCACAGTAAGAATTTACCCACGCGTAGTCTCTCAGGTTCACGTTAGTTAACAATGAGGTTCAGCAGTATCTCACTCCCATAAAATTCTTCTTCCTTTACAGTTTCTTTATTCACATCTACCTCCAAGCGTGACTCCTGTGAACAATTTCACAATCAGTTGCGGCACCACTGGAACACCTTACAACGGTGAAAGAACATGGGCAGGAGGGTATTCTTCTCCTTCTCGCTTCCTTGTTTCGTCTTTGTTGTGAGGGCAAGATCCAAGTCCAATCCATGGCCACTAAAGCTGCCAACCAACACGTTCATCCGACGCTTCTCCATCATCACGATCAAAGCCGCCACCAACAACTTCGACGACGCTTCCCTCGTCGGCTTCGGGGGATTCGGCCACGTGTACAGGGGCTTAATCCGCGGAATTTTCATCCCAGTGGCTCATAAGCACTTAATACAGGGTTCGAATGGCGCTGAAAAGTTCTCGAAGGTGGCTATCAAGCGCCACAAACCGGGTTCAAAGCAGGGCGTTGAAGAATTTCTGAACGAGATCAAAATGCTCTCGCAGCTCCGCCATCGCAATCTCGTTCGACTCATCGGTTACTGCAAAACCGAGAAGGAGATGATCTTGGTCTATAAATTCATGGCACGTGGCAACCTCCGTGACCATCTCTACAACAGCGACAAACCTTCCTTGCCATGGAAGCGACGCTTGCAGATCTGTATCGACGTTGCGCACGCGCTGCATTATCTTCACTGCTGCGCCAATAAATTCTCGATAATCCACAGCGATGTGAAAACCACGAACATCTTGTTGGACGAGGAGTGGGTGGCCAAGGTATCGGACTTTGGACTTTCCAAAATTGGGCCCATGGGAGAGTCGAAGGTCAATGTCTGCTCCACCGCTGTGAAGGGTAGCTTTGGATATATAGATCCAGAATATCATATACGACAACATTTGACGGAAAAGTCTGACGTGTACTCTTTCGGGGTAGTGTTATTCGAGGTACTGTGCGCTCGCCCGCCTCTCATTCGCACGACGGATCCGAGACAAGAATCACTCGGTAATTGGGTTAGGTACTGTTACGAAAATGGAACCATGGCAGAGATAATGGACCCCACGTTGAGTGGAAAGATTGCGCCTAATTGCTTTAGAATGTTTTGCGATACTGGGGTGAGTTGTTTATCAGAAATTGGGACGCAGAGACCGTCTATGAACGACGTCGTTCAGATGCTAGGGTATGCCCTACTACTACAAGAAAAGGCAGAAATTAGTGCGGCACATTCTAGTGACAAAATTTCATTTTTCTAGTTAGGCGAATTGAATTATTGAAGGGTTGAATAAGCATTATTGAATTGAATTACTTCTTTATTTCTAAGATCATTTGTTTATGAGTCGTTTCAAACGACTTGTTTAGGAGTGTAAATGAACATCTTTTTTATATTGCCCATCATGTGAATACAACGGTTAGAGTATCATCTTTTACATTTTTACATGTTTAAGTTCATTGGATTATCTTATTTTTCTATGGAAAAGAAATATAAAATATATTAAAATGTAATAGGATTTGAAATCTGTAACAAGTTTAAGTATGTTTTCTTATAACTACTAGTTATTCTTAAAACATTAAAATTATTTATTTTTCTTTAATACATTTTCAAGTGTAAAATACTAAATTGTATAAATAATTTTAAAATGGATGGAATAAATAAAATATTTAGTTATAGGAAAAAACTTTTATTTTCAATTCTATAAACTTTAGAGTTTATCAATTAAAATATCATTTCACAATTTTTTTTATTTGTTCACCAAATTTTTTAAATTATAAATCGAGCTTTAGAAAGTCTTTTTTAATGATTTATAAAGTCTTTATTTTGTTTCATGATCATTTAATTTTGGTTCTTATAACATGAGTTATATTTAATTAAGTGTAAAATTCATTAAGGTTAATAAGAATCTTTGTCTTTATCTATTGTAAACAGAGAAGATCAAATTGTTTTGATATTTAGTTTTGAGAATAATATTAATGTCACTTTTAAGAAAAGTGAAAAGGTAAATGATAAGTCATGGAATTCATAATAAATTATTCTAATAAGATTAAATTTAAGTTTTTATAACTCAAAACTCTATAAAGTTTTATAAAGAGAACATAATTTTCTTTCTAAATTTAGATATTTTCCTTTGTTGAGTTTTTTAAATTTGTTGATAATTTTTTTAGTTAAATTCATTATTATTATAAATTAAATGGAGATGAGTGACAAGAAGAAGAGAAAAAGAAAAAGGAAAATGAGGAGGAGGAGTTCACGGGATGGAAATGATAATAATGTCAATGTTGGCATTAATGATGGTGGAGGAAGAAGATGAAGAGTCAAAGGTGGTGAATGAACAATGGTAACCAGTGGTCCAACAATTTGATAAAAGAAATCATATTGATTCATAAATAAATTTGATCAAATTAATAACATACATAATAACGTACTATTATATGCAAGATTTTTTATGTCAATTGAACGAGGCTTATTATGACAATTATTTTGACATTATAGTTGTGGACGATATATAAAATTTGCGCTTTCTATGATGTGCGAAAAGTGTATAGTATAAAATATTGATCGAGTGGTTATAAACAATCAATCGATTTTCAGGTAAT